ATGGAAAGCTGTATTGTGTCTGATTTTGTTTTCTTTTTGGAACCTCCCGTCTCTTACATGATTAACTGTAGGGGTTGTAAAACTGTCCTTAGCATGAGGAAGTCTGTTGACTTCATGGAATGCAGTCATTGTGTTTTCGTTGTACAATAGTTTTCCTTTAAGATTGGTGTGTGATTTAGCTTAACAAGTATTCAAGTCATAATTGTGTCATCAATCCAAATCAAACTGAATATCTTATTCAAATGCAAATATAACAACACATTATTTTGTTCAATTTAACTTTTCCAATTGTTTTAATTATGCCTTTTAAAGCTGCTCAGTAATCTAGATGTGAAGAGGACAATGTGATTTAGAGTACATATGGCACCTGTGAGTCACACCTTAAAGCAGCTATGTATTTTCCTGGTTACATTTGGTTTAAGATGTTCCCAACTAGTGCTATGTACATACCTGTGTATCCTCTGAATCACATTTTCTCTTTCAAATCTGGATTGCTGCATAGCTTTAATAGGTTTTTTTAAATTGTTTTATATTCTACACATTATTTAATAGGGCTCTGCAATACTTTGGATTTGAAAGCAAAAAAAAGTGCTTTGGAGTGCAGGTAGGCAGTCATGTAGCACCTGTTTGCAATTCCTTATTTAATCATTTTTTAAGTGGAGTTTTTACATATTGTGGGAAAATCTAGCAAAGATAAATCAATAAAACAGTGGTATTACAAGGAAAAATATACATCATAATAGTAATTCAAATGAACTAAAACTAAAAAAAACAAGGCTATTTCAAACAATTGATTAATTTGTTTTTCCCCTCAAATGCCCTTTTTGGGTATACTTATTTATCCAGTACATAAATAAGTTTAATGTATGCAATTCTATAAAAATGAAACACTTCAGTACAGTATATTGTTTATTCAAATTATTATGTATTTGCTTAACGTCTCCCAGGAAATTACCACATTGATGTGATATGAGAGTTCACTAGCATCAGTGATCCTGAAAGTGTGAGGTCTTGATTGAATCACTTTTGCCACAAGGTAAAAAGGAGAGAGATAAGCTAAAGTTAATTCACAATGGGGGTGAGGGCAAATAGGATGCAGGCTTGAGAGAGGCCAACCCACCTAGGGCAAGGAATTTCAAAATAAAATCTTGGGAGAAGGCAATGGCAAACCATCTTTGTATTGTTGCCAGAAACCTGTTTTGACATGGCTGAAACATTTAAGACAAATGATGACACCTCAAGTCATAAGGCACTTATTCAGTGACTGGGGAAAAGCACCAGTTTTAAATCCTTAAGGAGGTGTGATAATTGATGGTGTCATGTTTAAAAAGGACTTGCTCATCTTACAAATATGTGTACAGTCAGAACAAGGAATGTGACAAGCATGAACCAAGATAAACTTGGAACAGTCAAAGTGGAAATGAAGCATGCTCAATTGGATATCTTAGGAATAAATGAATCAAGATGGGCTGGAATGTGCCACTTTAAATCAGATTATTATATGATACATTATTTAGCTCCATTGGAAGAAATAAAGTGGCAGTGATTGCTTTATTCCATCTGGTGTGTCCTTCTTGCCATCTTTTATCAATTTTATTGTAATTTGTTTGATTATTGTGAGCCACCCAGAGTCGTTGGGAGTCAGGCAGTGTACAAGTAGTAGCAGCAGCAGCAGCAGTAGTAGTAATAGCAGCAGCAGCAGCTAACTATAATCCAATAAATGACAGTTTTGTAGAATTACTGAAAACAGTGTTATACAAGTGTATTTATTTATTTATCATATTTATATAGCCGTCCATCTCACACAAGGTATGCATATCAGATGGAATGGTGGAAGATACTGAGGGATTTCAATGGTAGTTGCAAGAAGGGCTAAATGTAACACCAGGAAAAGATATAATAGTTTTTGCTTTAATGGACCTCCATTTAGCAGTTTTCAGATGCAGTACAAGTAGTCCTCGCTTACCGACCACTCATTCAGCAACCATTCCAAGGTTTGATGGTGCTGAAAAAAATAACTTTATGGCCAGTTTACAACCATTTATGCTGTTAGCAGCATCCTTCAGTCACGTGACCACCATTACAGTCAGTACTTGTTGCCCTGTGTCTGACTTGTTGTTCCCCCTCCCCCGGCAGAGTAGAGAGGTTGGAGAAGAGATTGGAAGAGAGTAAAAAGGCACACAGTGGCCAATACACCAGTTGTTTGCCAAGCATACTTGCAGTTGCCAGCACCAGCACATTCCCCATTGTGTGCCTGCTTACTCTCTTCTAATCCCTTTTTCTCCCATGAATGTAAATACAAACATTTACACATCCCTTCTTGTTAATTGTCCAGCGTCAAGTGAGCATTCTAAAGGGTGGAGGAGTGGTTAGGAGGCAAACAAAAGCCAAAGGTATGAAACTGATGACTCTTGTTAGTTTCAAGCTGGAAAAGATAGTCAGGGTCACCTGTAGTCCTCATTTAGTGACCACATTTGGGACCGGCAACTTGATTGTTAAGCGAAGTGGTCACTAAGTAAATCTGTGACTGCTTATGATCTTATTTCAGCTTTCCTTTGCTTTACAGACCTGCGAAGGTCATAAATGTGAGGATTAGTTGTAAAGTTACTTTTTCATCACCATTGTAACTGTGAACAGTCACTAAATGCGGCATTTGCTAAATGAGGACTACCTGTAAACCAAATTTCTGTCCAAATAGTCTCCAGAAATAACAGACAAATCCATTGCATCAAAGTAGTCCAACCAAGGTAGTTAAATGTACATTAATTTTACAACATCTGCATCAATTTATGTAATTCACATCAGTAAGAAAATGGCACAAATAATTGTGATGACATCCTTTTTTATTTAACTTTAAACCTAATTAATACTCTCCCCCAAATGGTCTATTAAAACAAGATTGCATTGTTCTATAAATGGGTGATTGGAATGTAAAAGTTGGATAAGGAGATAGGTTAATAGAGTTCTGTGAAAATAATTTGTTTATTGGCAATACCAATTTCAAAAAATAAACCCAAGCTCTAACACCTAAAGATCACTGGATGCACAGCACTGGAGTCAAATTGCCTACATAATAGAAACCAGAAGATAGAGAAATGTAGTCCAGTCAGCCAGGACATTTCTAGATTCAAACCATGACTTATAGAGGTTAAAATTAAAATGGAGTAGGTGTGCCATTCAGCTGGAGGACATGCAACATATAATGTAAGGAACTGATTCGGTATACTTAAGCAAAAGAGAACCTGAGGAGTAAGATGCACAAACTCATCATATCTGGGAACATAAAATTCCAGAGAAAATTTTGCTATATCAACAAATTTGGCACATCTCTACTTGGAAATTCTGGAAAGAGATAAGTGAAAATGAGAAGAAAAAATGTTATGAAAATGTCAGAGGAAAAGATTGGCTTTCAGGATAAGCTAGACAAGGAAAGATGGATGAAACCTTTGGACAACAAGGACACACAATGACCAAACACCAACTTCCAACTTCAAGAAAGAATAAGGAAAGGTCCCTCAGTGAAGAATGTCTCCCCATTTGGGGGAGAATAGACGAAACTAACAAGAAAGGAGAAAGAGAGGGTTTTTAAGAAGATCAGAGAAACCACAGAAAAATGTACAGCTAAGGTAGGAATCCTGAAGAATAATCACAGAACAAATCTATGTGTGTACAGCTAGATTATGTGGGTGCATCCTTTAATAACAGTTTCACTTTATACATTATTGAAATACTATTATTAAACATTTTACCTGGCTGGCCTTTGGTTGTAGTAATATTTTTCTTCTAGATCAGAGTTAAACTGATACTGAATTTCTGCTTGGGTTACATATGCTGTTTAACAACTGTTATTCATCATTCTACATTATATTTATGGACTGTATTTTTTAACTTTCATAGCCTAGTAGCACTACAACTTTATTTTATTCATAAAATTTACAGCTTGATCTAAAAAGATAATTATGTTAGTAATATTTAATTTATTGCTGAAATGGCTGCACTTCTTGTATCTCTTTCATTTTATGACATTTTGTGCTGGTCTTTGACCAAAGTAACAGTTTTGTTTGTTTGACAAAGCAATTCAAGTTAAAGGACGATGGAGAGATCATACTGAAACCCTTGACAAACAAAATTGTGGAGTGACAGAAACATTTGTAGAGAAAGAATATATTCAGGAACTGACTGCCCTAGAAAGTGAGATATGAGAAGGTGTCCTCCCTCTCAGCCCAACCTACTTCACAGTTTGTTGTTGGAATAAAGTGGAGGGAGCCCATATAAGTTCTCCTGAGCATCACCATCACAATTATTCAGCTCTAAATAGGAAAGTACAAAGTTCAGCTGAAATAGTAATTCAGCAGTTTAAAGCTGCAGGAGAAGAGGCAGTTAAAGTGCTAGAATTCTATCAACTAATAGGGAACAAGGTTGTTTGGTCTGTCTCAGTGCAATTGCTGATAAGACATGACTCTGCATATTTGGAACACATTTCTAAATATGTCTATTGCAGAGTAAACCTTGAGTGAGACTGACTTAAATTTATATACACTAATTATTTTAAAACTTAATTAGACTTGTTTCTAAGCAAATATTCATAAGGTAGCTGCAATTCTGTGAGGAAATTCTCCAATGGAGAATTTTCAGTATTTCACCAAGTTGCAGCTCTTGGGATTCCACTGAGGAAATCCATGTAGAGAACTGATCACGCATGCCTGTATATTTTGATTTGTGTGATTGGCTGGAGCCTGTTTGGCAACACTGTGTGTGGCTTGTACTTCTTATAAATGTAAATTAACAAGATGTAATTCCTGGCAGCACTGCATTCTAGCTAAGTGGCCAAATATTTTGAATATCTCTTTGTCAGTCTGCTTTTCTGTCAGTATAAGTATTTGATAATGAAAACTGCTGGGCTACCACTGTTATTTATATTGCATCTTTAGACTCCTGGGATTCTAACTGTGTTACTGCTAATGTGTCATTTCCCCTGCATATCTCTTTTCTCATTGCAGCTTGAACTCAGTGAGAACAGAATTTCTGGAGGCCTTGATGTATTAGCAGAAAAACTTCCTAACCTCACACATTTAAACCTCAGTGGAAATAAACTGAAGGATATTGATACTTTGGAACCATTGGTATGTCATTAAAAGGTTATCATATGTTTCAGTGGTGTTAACAATACTAATAGCAGTGACAGATGCTGAACTCATTCTTAGTTTATATTGGTAAATATGTCCAAATCCTATGTATTACATTTTGTACATAACTTTAAGCATGTTAGGCCTAACCCCATTTCAGTAGCTAATGTCTCGGAAAGGTCCTGTATGTATCAATAGTTCATTTTAAGTCCAAGAGAGGATAAAAATGTTTGTGCAAGACAGTATTACTTCTTTGTCAGCCACTGGCACAATCTAAATTAACATTGATATTGTACTCTCTATTTTTATTCAAGGTTATTATATTTTCACATCAATACATGTGGTATGGTTTGGGTTTCTTTCTGATTAGATTACGCTTTTTGTCTCTGGCAGATTTTAATTCTTAAATTATTTCTTTACCACACCACACCCCCCAAAAATCAGAATATTAAAGTTGTTTAGTTCAGCCGTGATGCGAGACACCCAATAGCTTATTGTTACAAATAATCCCAAGATTTTAACTCTCATGAAATAAATTTTAAAATAGTAAGTTATATTTATATGCAGTCTGCCTTTACTATTATCCAACTTGGAATGTAAGAGGTCAGTGTGAAATGAAAGTGCCGCCATGGGCAGGGAAGAGGGGACTCTTCATTTTTAAAAAAGTAGCATGTCAGGGAGAAGGCCTTAGGCAGCACAGCCTTCTTGATCTTGTTTTTCTTTTTGCGTGGAATCCAGAAAGGGATCTCTAAATGAACTGAAATAGTCTTAGATTAATTCACATGGATTTAAATTAAGGGAGATTTGTTTAAAAAAATATTTTATGGTAGTAGATGCAGTAAACTCACTCTTATGACATTGACTAAGTAAGAAATGTATATGGTAAGTTCAAAAGTCAAGTCTTGTTCTTTTTCGGGGAGGTTAGGTTAAGTTAATTAACACAGTGAAATCATTTTTAATTTGGAAATGAAGGAAAAGAGATGTACATCAACTCATCACGTGGTTTTATTTCACTTTGCACCCCCAAATCCAAATTGAAATTATGAGCATATCTTGCCAGTTTTGTGTATGATGGCAATGTAGTAATGATACTTACAACTAACGAGTTTATTTCTAATTCAGAAAAAGTTGGACTCTCTGAAGAGCCTTGACCTGTTCAACTGTGAGGTAACAAATCTAAATGACTACCGAGACCGTGTCTTCACACTTCTTCCACAGCTCACCTATCTGGATGGATATGATCAGGAAGATAAAGAGGCTTCTGATTCAGATGCTGAAGTAGATGGTTTTTTTGAGGAAGATGAGGAAGGTGAGGTTAATCATATTAATTGTGGATTGAAAAGGGTTAATTCTTGGCTATGGCCAAGGTCTTCCTAATGAAAATATGACCATTAATTTGGAGCACTGCATTAAGCTGATTTACAGCATTTGAAATATTCTCTGCACTGTATTTGAACCAAAAATACTAGTTGAGAAAGATCACTTTTAAGGCACAGAGTAGGTATCATGGTGGGTATGGCCTGTCACAAAACACATCAGTTTTCCAGAAGGAAAACTAGTGTGGATGCTCCCCTCTATCCCCTTTACCTGGCTGGTTGTAACCCAATTTATTCTGTCTTCTGAATAGGTGGGCACATTTCCAAATAGAGCATTGCACTTCAGCCTCCTACATTCTAACTTGCTCCTCCCCACCTTAAAAAAAAAAATTGTTTAAACAAAATTATCACTGGGAACATGGAGCCTGGTGGGTGCCTAGGGAGATTTCTGGGGACACATTGATACTCAAAGAGATCACATTGGGGATCCAGATTCTAATACATTAAGGAATCTGTAGTGATATAGCAAACTGTTGTAATAGGCTTGCAAATTATTAACCCAGCCTCTTTTAGACTGACAGTTTAAATTCATACCCCCTCTCATACTGCTTAATTTATAAGTTGCAAGTCTGGACATAATCTTCTGTGAAACAATGGTCAATATCAGTATCTGCTCTTTTTAGCAGTTGTTCCTAGGATAGTGTTTAAAAAGAGACACCCTTTGAATTAATATTGTTGTGGAAAGCTTCTGGTGGTGGGCATAGTGGTTCCATCATCTTCGGACAAGCGGAGAGGGTACCTCAGCTGTTTCAATGCTTTGTGGACATTGCAGGGCGCTTTCTTCCTCCTGATAAAAGAGGAAGCTTCAATCTATTTGATCTCTGGACAGCCATTCCTCGTGAGAAAATTGCAAAAACAGGTTTTTGCGAGTGCCTCACAAGTGGAGTGGCTGGGAGACAAGAATTACTTCTTGTTCGTGGCTGAGGCACAACCTGTATAAGGACACTGGAACTGGCCAACCCCCATTTCTATAGCACTTTTGAATTATAATTACTCTTCAGTTTAAGAGAGGCTTCTTTTTACAGCAGATAAGTATTTCTCTTGGTATTTTTCTCATTTTTGGGGGGGGGACTATAAACTTTGGGAAGATCTGGAGATTTAAAGTAATAAAATGTTTGAAAAATCTGCAAAAAGTGGGATAATTAAAGTGATATAAGAAAGCTGACAACAGAGAAGGGAAGATTTTTTTTAAAAAAATTAAAGTTTAATTTTTCATGAATTTGCATTGTTAATACTAACTGCTTTAATGGGACTCTGTTTTTCTATGAGAATGCTTTTTGTTTTATTGTAACCAACTTGATAATTAGCTGGGATCATATATCAAAAGAACACAGTAATCAGCCTAGCCTGTTTTTAGCAGAACCTTTTTTCACTGGTGACACCTGCTGGCAATTGCTTGTAATTACAGCTTTAAAGGTTAATGGATTTGAGTTTTCTGTTTGGGGTTCCCCCCCCCTTTTTTTCTTTTTCTCTTTTCAGCTCAACATTTTTACTTTTTTGATCTTTCTACATTGACAACACATAAAGCCTGACTGGATGTTAGCTGCTCCACAGAGGCTCTTTTATCAGAGAGGGAAGATAAAGAGAAGATAAACCAATCTCTTCTAATTTAATTAAATCAATGTTCAAGGAATTAGGATCTAAACTGGCTCAATCATTGGATGCTAAATTGGATGCTAAATTTATGACTTGAAAAAAAGATGGAAGAAAGATTGGATAAGATGGATATTTTTATAAAACAAATGTCTGCAGTTATGAAACAAGTGTCTGGAGAACGAAAACAAACTAATGATAGAATGGAAATTTTAGAGAATAAATCAGGTATTAGAGATATAGAATTTGAAAGAGGAATGGATAATTTGGCTC